GGTCAGTGTGGATATGCAGCCCAGCTGTGGTGTGAGCCTCTTTGAGTTGAGTAAATAATGCTGTTTCTGTGAGCGCAGGGTTAAATCTGGGCATCTGAAATGCAGAGTAGTCTAGTTCTGAGTGGACACCAGCTGGTGTTGTCTGCTGGCCAGCTGTGTGCACTGACATCAGGTGACACTGGCTTTGTAACCTGTGAACTGGCGATTCTAAAATTGCCATCTGTGGGGACTTGAGGGTTTGGGACAGAACATTCACCTGTGTAGTAATTTTGTGTTTATACATAAATATAATAGACTCTTGATAAACTTACATGACTAGACCTTCCGTCAGTGTTGGACGTGTGGCTCACTCACACAGACTCATGAGAGAAAATAAGATGAGGTATATGCTCCTGAGACTGGGTCCCAAGCTTTGTGTGCCCTTCCGGACTCCTTCAGATGCCAGAGTCACTGTCTCATAGGTGCAGAATTAAACGGAATGTTGCCAGGCCATATTTCTTCCTTTGAAAATCAACATTATTGAGCTATAATTTCTATCCAATGATAGTAAGTCTCAAAGCCTCATATGTCCATTTAGCCACCGTCCAACCCAGCAGTCAAGGTCTGGAGCGTGTCCACTCATCCCTTGGCCATGCCTGCTAAGTGTTTTTATGACAGTGACGTTCCCTGCCTCTATGATAATGAACCAGGGGAGAGATGGGTGGCGACTTTCCTCCCATTTAATTTACAGCCTCTTGAGAAGCTGCGAGATGGTCAGGTCTGAGTTGATTCCAGTTGGATGGTGCGTATCATAACAGAGTATGAGAAACTCTGGAGATGCAGTGTAGGGCATCACTCATTACACTACAAACCAGAAGGTCAGCAGTTTGAATCCACCAGCCACTCCAGAGGAGAAAGATGAGCAGTCTCCTCCCTTTATAGATTTCCAGCCTTAGAAATCTAGCGGAGGGTCCTTCCGTGTCGTAATTACCCCAGCAGTTGTGGGTTTGGTTTTGCATGAATAATGTAGAAAGGAGGCCTGGTGGTGTAGTGGTTAAGCTCTCAGCTGGTAGCCAAAAGGTTGGCAGTTCAAACCCACCAGGCTGCTGTTGGAGAAAAAGGACAGTGTGCTTCCATACAGCTTTAGAGCGTGGAACGTCTAGTACTGTTTGTTTCTGCCCTGTGGGTCTTTGTGGGTCAGGGCGTTGGCTTTGAGGATGAGATTGCACCCAGTCTGTTTCCATTTCAGGCAGAAAAAGGCCTTTAATGAGCAGTGTGACGTGTTTCTCCAAAGTCCCAGTTGGAGATTACAGAGTCAGTCCACAGCCTCCTGTGGACGTAGAGGTACAGCCAGGGCACATGAAGTGTCTGAAGATCAGCAGAGCCTCAAAGCACCCAGGACAGACTGCTGCGGCTCAGAGCCAGCTCGTGAGGGCTAACACCTGTGCCATGGGGATGTGGCTTCCAGGTGGCAGGTGCCAGGGGCCTCCTAGAGGCAAAGTGTGTAACTGGTGGAAGAGCCGATGTCATGTGTAAGGCACAGTTTGAACACACTGAAGACAGTAAACTGTATAGTGAGAAAACTTGGCTTGAGGTGTTTGTACAGATTCCCACTGTGAGAAGTAGGTGGTGGTCTTTATCTCCTTTTGATGATTGGAGAAATAGTCCAATGGCTGGTTTCCTAAGTCATCTATCAACAAAGAGGCCAAGAACCGAATTCCAGTGAAGACAGACACTAGTTGTTCTCGAATCTTCCATTCATTTAGTCCATGCACATCTGCTGAACACCCACTGTGTTGAGTCCATGAAGGATCAGGACAGAACAGGGAAGGACTGAAAAATGGAGGAAACAGGGATGCCTCTGTCTCAGAGAATTCTCACTCCCTCACCACGTTCCTTGTGTGGATGAGAACCACATGCCTGCTGGTAAAATCATCCTTTGCTTCTTTCCAGAGCCAGATGTGGCTTCGAGTGATGCCACCAACATCGCGTGCAGCATCCAGCGTGACGGCGACAGCTATGTGATTAATGGCAAGAAGTGGTGGAGCAGCGGTGAGTGCTTGCAGGCCTGGGTCCCTGGACCTGTCCCTGAATAACACGGGCACAGGGACCCACCAAGGACCACAGTTCCTCCTCTGCTTTGAAAGCATTTTCAAATTTAGAAAAGTAATTTTAAAAATAACATGTTGTGGTGGTGGTTGTTAGATGCCATTGACTTGGAAGCCACCCACAGCTAACCCTCCAGTGGGTTTTCAGAGCCAGTAAATGACACGGGAGGAGATCGCTCATCCTTTCCTCATGTGGTAGATTTGAACCACGTACCTTTGGGATTACAGCAGCTACTTAGAAAATCTTTATTTTAAGAACAGAAAACACATTTTGATGGTTTTTAACAGTTGGTAAGAGATCAAATTCCTATTAGTGGGTACTATTTTCAATCAATGTAATTTCTGTCAAGATTTAGTTTTAATAAGTTAAAATTACATAATACAGGACGATAAGACATAGTGCATGGACTGTAATAATTTCTTTTTAATAGATGAATTACACTCATTAAAAATAACTTTTTATGACAATATTTTTATTGCTTAAAAACAGATATTTTTGGTGGGTGGAGGAAGAGGGTAAAGGAAATGGGAGATATCCAGCAGGGATCTGAAAGGCAGGGTAAATGGTGGGCATAGTCTAATGGTGATTAATTTTATAAAACACAGTGTGTGGGAATGATTGTGTGAAACATAATGTCAGTGAAGGAAGGTGTTTGTGTGTGTATCTGCATAAAAAAATAAGCATATAAAAATAGGTATCTAAATGAGAACTAAGAACCTTAAAATATGTAGTTTAGTCTGTGCCCACTAATAGGGTCACATGAATTAGAACCAAGCTGGATATGGCAGCCTGAGGTGCGGTTCTGCTGTGTGAGTGATAAAGCTAACATTGATCAGGATACCACCTATTACTAAAGCAAGCTGATGCCGTAGAAGTAGACTGTATCTTTAAAATTTACCAAGCTTTATAAAAAAGGCCAAAAAAAAGTCTTTTATTATTTTTAGTGGGATCTTATAAAGAAACTGCAAAAAGCTGTTAATTTTTGCCACCTAATTATTGAAAGAGAGTTGGACAATGACTAGGGAGGACAGAAGGAGAGTGGATGCTTTTGAGCTGTGGTGCTGGAGAAGGGTACTGCATGTACCATGGACTGCCAAGAAAACAAACAGATTCATCTTGGAGAGGATTAAACCAAGCTACTCCTTGGAGGCAAGGATTCTGGGGCTTCGTCTGACATACTTTGGACATGTTGCCAGGAGGAACGGGTCCTTGGAGAGGGACATCATGCTTGGGAGGGTGGAGGGACAGCGCAGGAGGGGGAGACCCTCTATGAGATGGATTGATTCGGTGACTGGGGTAATCGGGATGGGTGTGTCAGAGGTGGTGCGGTTGGCGCAGGATAGAGCAGGGTTTAGGGCTGTTGTGCACAGGGTCGCTATGAGTCGCAAACGACTCGACGGCGCATAACAACAACAACAACAACAATTATTGAAATGTCAGCACAGGGAAATAGCTCTTCTCTTAAAGCAGATGATTGGAAATAGTTACACTTGCTCCCTCACTTGGGTCTCGTGACTGTGTCGGGTGGCCTCGCCTGCTGCTGGGCACTGCAGCCCACTGTTTCTATTAAGTGGGTTTGGGACTGCTCTTTTCCTATGTTGCTAGCCTGATTTTTGTGTCTGCACACCTGTTTCCCGTCTGCTCTACTTCTCCTCCTTCCACCGCAGCCCTCGGTGAGAGGCATCCACAGTGGTTAGACCCTCTGAGGCGCCCCATCACTGATGGTCAGCCGAGCAGGAGACGAACAGGCCCTCCTCTAAATGCTTAGAGTGCTGGTGGGCTCGGTGGGCCCTTCGGAATCGAAAGGGATCTCCTCGGTGCTCGGCCTCTGCCGTCTCCAGCGCCCGTACATCTTGGCCACTCTGGCGATGTAGCTTTTGAAGGAGGCGCCCATGAATACGTACAGCACGGGGTTGAGGCAGCTGTGGAAGAGCGCCACGCTCTCGGTGACCTGCACGGCCACGTCCATGCGCTTGCTGGCCTCGCAGTCGGTGATCAGGCGGTAAATGATGTCTATGGCTCGCCAGAACTTGACGGCGTTGTAGGGCAGCTGGGTGGCAAGGAACACCACGACCACCGCCAGCAGGACCTTGAGGGGCCTCGCCTTTTTGATGTTGGGTGTCTTGATAAGCGTCCTGGCTGTGACGAAGTAGCACACGCCCATGATCAGAAAGGGCACCACAAATCCTACACAGATCTCCAGCATCTGGATGGCTGCTTTCACCGAGGTGCCCAGGTGGTGTGGGAAGACGGGGATGCACCTGGCCCTGTCAGTGACCGTGTTGAACACCAGCTGGGGTGAGCTCAGCAGGATGGCAGCCACCCAGACACAGGAGCAGATGGCCCAGCACGACCTGCCCGCGCCTGCCTGGCGTGGGGCCCGAGTGACAGCTGAGTACCTGTCGACGCTGATGCAGGCCAGGAACTGCATTCCAGACACGAAGTTCACGGTGTACAGCGCGGCGGTGACCTTGCACATGGCTGTCCCCAGCACCCACCCATGCACTGCGTTCACTGCCCAGAAGGGCAGCGTGAGGAGAAGGAGCAGGTCCGCCACGGCCAGGTGGAGGATGTACACGTCAGTCTTGGTCCTCCTCTTCTTGTAACAGGCATAGATGGCCACCACGACGGAGTTGCCCGCGAGGCCGAGGACAAACGCGATGCTGAAGAAGGTGGGCAGGAACACCTTGGCAAAGGCCCTGACCTCCTCCTTCACGCAGATCACTTCGTACTGGCTGTAGTCATGAGTGCCATTGAGCTCGTCCTCGTCGTAGTAGTCTGCCGACTGGTTGTGCTCCAGAGCCATGGCGCCGACCTAGATGGCAGGGATAGGCAGGCTGTTACACACGCATTTCAGCATGGCCGGAGGGAAACACTGTACCAGCACCCAGCACGCACTCTTGGCTCTGTCACTAGAAAAGGTTTTTTTGCTGAATCTCATGTGAACTTGTGAAAGATCAAGTGGCCCCCTACTCACCTGAAAGTTGGCCAGTGACCAAGAGTGACAGAAGAAGAATCAGTGCCTTCGAGGTGGGCTGGAGAAGATGATTGAACATACCATGGACCACCAAGAGAATAAACAGGTCTGTCCTGGAGAGGCTGAAGCCTGATTGTTCCCTGGAGGCAAGGATTTGAAAGCTCTGTCTCACATACTTTGGGCATGTTGCTAGGAGGGACCAGTCCTTTGAGAAGGACATGGTGCTCAGAAGGGTGGAGGGACAGAGCAAGAGAGGAAGACCCTGGATGAGATGGATTGACACAGTAACTGGGGTAATGGGGGTAGGTGTGTTGGAGTCAGTGAAATTGGATAGGCTAGAGCAGAGTTCAGAGCTACTGTTCACAGGGTAGCTGTGAGTCGCAGTTGGCTTGATGGCACATAACAACAACAACAGTGTGAACTTTCTCCAAGCAAAGTTGTGTCGTCTGCATCTACAGATTGTTGATGAGTCTTCCTCCAATCTTGATGCCACCTTCTTCTACGCCTGCTCCTAAATTATTTTCTCAACATGCAAATTGAATAGGTATGAACAAAGTATACACAACCTTGCTTACAGAAAGTGAAGAAGACTTGAAAAACTTGCTACAGAAGATCACAGACTACAGCCTTCAAGATTGGTTATATCTCAGCATCAATAAAACAAAAATCCTAAGAAAACCTACTGTCTAGGAGGGGAAAACTGACAATATCATCTGTGACAAGGCTCTTATAACAAAAGTTTACAGAATCCTACTGGACCCTCACACGAAAAAGACCGATAACGTAATTACAAAATGGGCAAGAGACATGAAGAGACTTCACACGCATGAAGAAATGCTAAAAATTACTGGCAATAAGAGAGATAGATACAAATCAAAATCACAATGAGATGCCATCTCACAGCAGGGGCAGAGTGTAACAGGACAGAAAGCAATAAATGTTGAAGAGTTAGATTGTAAGGTGGTACAACTACTCTGAAAGGCAGTTTGGCATTTCCTCAAAAAGCTAGACATAGAAATTCCATGTAACTCAGCTATTCCACTCCTAGGGATATATCCCAAGGAAACTAGAACTGAGACGCAAGTGGAGATCTATACATTCATAGCTGTGTTAGTTACAATTGCAAGAACTTGGAAACAGCCCACATGTCCAACCACAATCAGACGGATAGAGAAATTGTGGTACATTTACATGATGAAATACTATGTAGCACTCAGGAACAATGATTTTGAAAATTACTAAATAACTTGGGAGAAACTGGAGGACATTATGCTGACTGAACTAAGGCTCAGAAGAATAAATACAGCATAGAACCATTATTGTAAAAACAGATGGATAACTAGTAAAATATGTAAGGGATCTATGGGCTGGGGGAACAGAATGGTGAAGGGAGGAGAAATTATAGAGTCTCACAATTTGGTGAGTGGAGGGAGAGGAAGTAAAAGAAATGGGAAAGATCTGGTAGGGATCTGAAAAGATGGGAGAGTGCTGGGCATAGTTCAGTGGTGATTGATTATGTAAAACAATGAATGAGAATGACGGTATGAAACACATGTGAATGAAGGATACAGCTGAACTAGGGAGGGTAGAACAAGAATTGATGCCTCTGAGTTGTGGTGATGGAAAAGAGTGTTGAATATACCATGAACCGCCAGAAAAACAAAGAGGTTCATCCTAGAGAGGGTGAAACCAGGCTGCTCCTTGGAGGCCAGGATTCTGAAGCTTCGTCTGACATACTTTGGACATGTTGCATGGAGAGACCAGTCCTTGGAGAGGGATGTCATGCTTGAGAGGGTGGAGGGACAGTGCAGGCAAGGAAGACCTTCGATGAGAGTGACTGGGGTAATGGGAGCAGGTGTGTCAGAGTCAGTAAGACTGGCACAGGATGGAGCAGGGATCAGAGCTGTTGCACACAGGGTCTCTATGAGCCACAAGTGACTCAATGGCACATAACAACAATAACAATAAAAACAATAAAATAAAAAGAAACCTAATATCTCACCTCTGGGGCAACAGACCACATCATGATAGATGGAGAAAAGACGAAGTTACCAACGACTGCATTCTGCTTGGATCCACAGTCAACACCCATAGTGGTAGCAGTCAAACATCAAAAGACATGCTGTGTGGGGAGATCTGACACAGAAGACATCTATGTCAGGGACCTCTCCCAAGTGCCAAAGAGCAAGAATACCCTTTTAAAGACCAAGCTACACCTGCTCCAAGCCATGGTCTTTTCATTGGCTCTCTAGACACCTGAAAGTTGGCCAGTAAGGATGACAGAAGAATGGATGCCTTTGAACTGTTGTGCCCACAAGGAGTACTGAGTATATCGCTGACCACCAGAAGAACAGAAGAACTCTGGAGGGTCAGCTATGGGTTGGTTCCGACTCTATGGTACACACAACAACCAGAAGAACAGACAGGTCTGTCCTGGAGGAACAACAGCCAGAGGGCTCTAAGAGACAAGGATGGTGAAACTTCATCTCACACACTGGGGGCATGTTTTCAGGAGGGGCTGGTCTTTGGAAAAAGACATCGTGCTGGGGAGGCGGGGTAGTCAGAGAGAGAGGAAGCCCCTCAACGAGGTGACTGACACGTGACTCTAACAGTGGGCGCATGGTCATGAGGAGGGGCAGGTTAGGGCCATGTTCAGATCCGTTGTTTATGATGTTGCTATGAATCATAGCATCAAACAAAAACAACTCGGCGTGTGTGAACTGGAGTTTGGCATTCTCGGAAGCTCCTTATTGGGAACCACATTGGAATACACCCTCGAGATCACTGGTTTTGCTGTTACAAGTCTATGTGCAAGAACTTGGATTTACATGGAGATTGTAAAATCAGCACCCTCAGAAATTACCCTAATTCTTAAACCCTAAGTAAAAGTAATGAGCCTTTTCATGTCAAAGACTTTTAAATATCAGGGAGCTCTGGTGGCCTAGTGTCAAGAAGCTACACTGAAATCCCAGAAGCTTGTGGTTTGAATCCACCAGATGCTCTGCTGGAGAAGGAGGGACAGTCTCCTCCTGTACCAGTCAGATCCAGTTTGACAGTACACACACACAAAATAATAAAATTTTTTAAAAGACTTTTAAATATTAAAATTGAGTCAGATTTCCACTCAGAAGACTAGTTTATTAATCTTCTAAGGTTCATGAGCTTTAGACTGATAAATTAATATAAGATAATGAATCATCTTATTAAGAAGAAATTTGAATTTTATTTTTGTAAATTATTTGCTTGGACATTTATTTAAAATAAGTGAAACGAACGACCTCAATATTGGTGTTCCATTTCCCTGGGGAGCCTTTCACACAGCCATTTCAGCCCGGCTTGCCTCCAGCTCTGGTCAGCACTGACCTACAGCACTGCTGACCCCACCGGCCAGCCTCGTGCACACCCCTTCACATCACCCCCTCTGGCCAGCCTTGAGGCTCGGAGACTCCCCTGCTGCCACAGGACCTCCTGACGTGTGTCCTCTCTGTGTGTGGACTGCACCTTGTTCCTGGGGTCGTTCCTCCCCGGCTCCCTTCATGAATGGTTTCCATCTCACTTCCAATGTCCCGTCTGAAATGTGGACATATTGCTGCCCTGCTCCTCCCCACAGGGACTCCCCTCTGCCGGCAACACTGTCATCTCCTTTGTGCAGTGCATGAGGTTCCCACTGTGACATTGCCCCATCCACAGCCCCTGTCACCCCCATCACCCCTCACGCAGCAGCCCTAGTCTGATGACAGTTCTTGGACGTGTGACACTGCCTCCCAGATCTACATGGTGGTTCAGTCTCACCCCTTGTCTTGGCGCACTGTTCACTGCCCTCCCCCTGAGGACCCCACTCCTTCTCAACTCCATCACCTCCCATGGTTTTCCTCCTCTGGGCTGACAGTGCATCTCAGCATAGGCCACGCCCCATGGGAAGCCTGGCCACTGTCTACATTGTTCCTCAGGAGGCGAACCGTCCCGTTTCTGCTGATAACTCACGTCCTTGTAGAGGGCCTGGCATATGTGGGCTTTTGTTTGTATTTGCCACAGGGAAGGTTTCCCATCAGGTATAAAGCTGATGACTTAGAATGGATTCAGAATTTCTTTTCTCTGTGTTATTACACTATATTAGCTGTTCACATCCCTAATAATATAATAAGCTGACACAGTTCTCAAATCTTCAAATGTACATAATGTTTTTCATTATTTTTATTATGGTCCTGAAATATTTTTTTCAACTTTTCTATCTTCCTTTAACTTTTTTTTTTTGCCTTTGGAGAGTCTCAGATATAGAACCAAAAGTGCAGATACTGGTTTTTAAAACATCCTGCCACCTCACTGTGGATTTCTGGGGTGCTTTTCCTGGCCTTTTAAGGGGTAAAGCAAGTAAAGAAGGCCCTTGGGGAAGATGTTCCCTAGGAGGAAACAGGGTGGGTTTGGTTTTGTTTTTAAAGACCAAGTGCTGATAATTTTAAGTTTAATTATGCTGAATTTTTTTTGACTGGAATAATGTTTGAAAATTTCCAGTCTGTAAAGACCACTCTGTTCTTTCCTGCCCTGTGCTTTATTAACACAATGCAGACTTTGTTCTTCTCTTATCTCTTATCAGAAATCTCAAATGTATATTCAGGGATCATATTAGCAAGTATGTCGAGGACATTACAGAAGAGAGTTTTTCATGACTGTAGAGTAAGCGTGAGGTTCCAGGGGGAAGAGGTGAAAGCAGAGGGGTGAGGATGCGTGGAAGAGGGGGCAGTGAATCATGGGGTCACGCAATTAGATGAGTGGGGGGCGTAGGGAAATGGTGTGAAAAACAATGTATTCTAATTTTGTAAATAAACTAG